GCTGGACGGAGTCGGAAGACAAAGTCCCATTATCTTGAAAGGCAGACGCGTAGGGTGGGTAAGTGGCCGGCATGTTGCAAACGCGTCCGCGTGAAACCCTCAGCTGTTACAAAGGATGCTGCCCAGTTTATCCTTGCACAGAAAATGTCTTTCTTACAAAGGGATTTTTTTTCTTTGGTGCTGGGGCAGAGAAAGGCATGATGGAAGCATATGAAGATGCAGGCATCTGAGACACTGCTCATTTCTCGTTCCAAGTTAACATATTGAGGGGAAGCTCAGTTAAAACGCAAGTTGATCACGTTAAGGAATTCCAGATTCTCTCTCTTTTTTTTTTGACAGTCAAGTTACCTAATGAGTACGGTTTAAGGGGAAGCGTTTTCCAATTCACGAGACGTGAGTCGGGCGGGAACGGCATCCGGGCGGGAACGGCATCCGGGCGCAGGAGGCCGTTATGGTCCGGGAAGTGTCGATTTCCGTGAAAACGAAGGACGTTAAGAACAGAAAGGTAATTTGGAGAGGCACGTGCAAAGACTGAAATCAGACATTTGGAAACGCAGCCCTGGGTAGTCAGGAGATCAGCTCATGCGTCTCCTCACTGCAGGGGAAGCATTTGCACAGTCAAGCAGACGTAAGCACAGGTCGCACGCCGCTGTTCGGTTCAGTCATTTTTACAGGGACCGACACAGAACAAGCTGTTTCTAAAGTTAGCTGGCAGGAGAAATCGCTCTAGGTTTTCACCGACTGCATCAAAGGCCCCGCAGAAATGCTGGCTGACGCGGGTCAAACGTTGACGTTGGTGACGAGTGGACGGCAGTGGGTGTCGTGGCCGGCGAGTCCGGGGAACTGAGAGCAGTCGCTCGGGGCACTGATGGCAACGTGGGGTCACGGGGACCCTCGGGTGCTGGAACGCGTCTGTGCAACACGGCGGAGCCACAGCCCAGGGTGACGTTGGTGGCGTCTGCATCCGAGGGGCTCCCTGAGTGTGCCTGCCGCCGACTCACGCATCGGGGCGTCTGTGCTCCGGGGCGTCCGATCGCCGCCTCACGGAGACGTCCTCAGATGCGCCCGACGCTGTCGGGAATGAGGGACAGGTGCGCACGGGTGGCCCAGGCATTCCCATGCTGCGCTCTGCAGAGAGTAAGCGCTGAGCTGCCAGCACGTCAGGGAAAACGGGACCTTGACGACCTGTCGGAAACAAGGTCTGCGTCCCGGCTGATTAGGAAGCCACTTCCTGAACTCGGCGTCCGGGGACAGAAAAGGTGACAGGTATTAACGTGCTGCGTGAGACGGCATCGGCGTCTCCCCTAAAGAGAACGGGCAATTCCGCGCCCTGGGGGCAGCTTGCTGGCGGGACCGCGGCTCTGGAATGTTCCTTTCCGGACACTCTGCGCCCTCCCGTCTCTAATACGTCCGTTCCCCGCTGCCCCCCGTGAGTGGAGTCGGTCCAAGCGGCACCGGCCCCAACCTCCGGACAGGGGTCTGTTTGGACGACCCGGTTCTCAGAACCTCGTGGACGGGCCGCAGAAACACGCGTGACGTACACGGCCACCTTCCAGCTCTCAGCACGGCCCACGAGCCGCGGTGGGAAAGGACCCACGTGCACCCCCCGCGCGCCCCAGCCCCCGCCACCGACTAAGGACTGTGCGGGGATCACGTCTGCGAAGCCTGCGCCTCACGGCTCTTAAATGGCCTAAAAAAAAAAAAAATGGGGAAAATCGCCGCCATCTGGAACCTGCAGTAAATAGGACCCCTAGGACCCCGCCCGCCCCGTAACTGCTCGCTGCCTGCAGGGACCCCGTGCACCGTGCAGTGAGGGCGGCCGCTCAGCATTCCCGTGTGCGTCCCCGGGCTCACGAGCCACTCGCCGGAGACACTCTTCTCCCTGTCTGCGGAGTGTGCGTGTGTGTGCGCGTGTGTGTGTGGGGGGGGGTGATGCGCCCCTCACGTGCTTCACAGCAGGGCGCACGTCACCGAGAAATGCGTGCTGATCGCGCAGATCCACTTTCCTGGTGGACCATCCACACTTGGTCATTTATCCCACGTAGCACAGAGGACATTCATGGGCGTTCTTCCTACGGGGACTCTGAGGGGTGCACAGCCGGCTGTGCGTGGGCTCTCAGAGCAGCCGCCGTGTTCCCCCAAACTGCATTCCGAGAACGTCCAGTGCGAGCCGGACACTGTCACCAGTCCACCCCCATGGTCATGCGTTGCGGCCGCATTTGACACGTGCCCATGGCTCACAGGTGGCGTCACACTGTGTGCATGTAGGCGCATGAGTGTGTGTTCATGCATGCACGAATGTGCATAAGTGTATGTGCATGAGTGTGTGCTTACGTGTGCCTGAATGTGCGTGAGTGTGCGTGTGAGTATCAGTGTGAGTTTATGTGTGCACAAATGTGCATGAATGTGCATGAATGTATATGTGTGTGCACGAGTGTGCACAAGTGTGACTTCATATGTTTATGGATATGCGTGCATGTACATGGGTGTACATGCGTGTGCGTGAGTGTGCTTCTGTGTGAGTGAGTGTGTGTCAGTGTGTGTGTGTGAGAGAGTGTGTGCTCATGTGTGCATGAGCGTGCGGGAGTATGCATGAGTGTGTGTGTGTGCCTGTGCATGTAAGTGTGCATGTGTGCATAAGTGTGCCTGTGTGCGTGAGTGTGAGTTCATATGTGCATGAATGTGCATCAGTGTACATCGGCGTGCGTGTGTGCCTGTGTGCCTGTGCGCCTTGGTGTGTGCGTACGTGTGCGCGCGTGTGTAAGTGTTCCTGTGTGAGCATGCTGTATGCATGCGTGCGTGAGTGTATACGTGTGTGAGACTGTGCCTGTGTGCATGAGTGTTTGCGCGTGTGCGTGTGTGTGATGAATGGACAGCCCCCAACAGTAACGGTCATATTCTGGGGTGTCCTGTTCTGGCAGCCTTTAGCCGCGTTAGTGGATTGATCGGATTCAGCACGAATGCCACAGAGTTGTAAAAAGTAAATCCATCGCACAGCGGAGATAGGAAGACGACATGACAATCAGACACGCAGAAGTGGAGGACCGTGTCCACCAGCGACCTGTCTCCTCTGCTCGTCCTTGGCCGTCTACCTGAGTAGAACGTTGGGCATGTGTCGCATGCCGCTGGCCGGTCTGTGCCAACGCCCGTGGCCGCAGGGAGCGCCCGCGTAGGTCTCCGGCTGTTTGTCTGCAGCTGGAGCGAGCTGTTGTGTGCCTTCTCGTCCTCATGGGCGTCATGTTTCATTTTAGGCCGTTCAGGATTCCGACTCCGTGGTGCTTGGTTCCCGCCTGGAGCTTCGAGCAGCCCTCCGATCGTTTCTGGGCTCGGTCTACTGAGATGAAATCACCTAAACCAGGTAACCATGCGCAAGTTGACCAGGGTCACGGACACAGGGCCTTGTGCTGATCTGCCAGGGTAAATGCACACGGGGGGTGACGGGGCAGAGGGGAGCACGTGATGGGAACGCCTCCCGCCGGGGCACGGAGGAGGAAGTCGACAAAAACACAGGTCTGAGACGGAACGCAGCCGGTTCCTGAGGACTTCACGGGATTTAGGAGGAGCCGGTGGGACTTAGCAGATCTCAGGAAACAAGACCGCAGGGGTGGCTGACGCGATGGGGCGCCGGCTCCCAAGAAACAGGCCGACACGGTTCAGCCGGGGTGGGCGGTGAGTGAGGAGCCCCCTCTGAGATGGATCAGAGGCTCCGCCCGGACGCCCCGAGAGTGCCGGTCGCACCCCGTCCTCCTCAGAAGTCGCTCGTTCGGAGACTCAGAGTTGCAAAGAGTTCGAGAAAGATCTGAAATCTGAGCTAAGTCCTTGGA